CGACTACAGCCATGTTTTACGCGACCACCAAGAAATTCAAGAGAGAAACTTTTGACTGGAGTAAGCATAGGCATATCATTGATTTTTCTTTTGTTCATAGCCTCAGTTTCTCTTTGTTGGTTAAAAAGCAGAAAGAATAAAAATATCAATGAAGCAACTCCTTCCACCATGGGTTTTTTTCATGAAATGATAAGTTATGGAGATCTTCGAAATGCGACAGATGGCTTCTCTTCGAGTAATTTGATCGGGTCAGGCAGCTTCGGTACTGTGTTTAAAGCCTTTCTCCCTGATGAGAACAAGGTTGTTGCAGTGAAAGTTCTAAACATGCAGAGACGTGGAGCAATGAAGAGCTTTATGGCAGAATGTGAATCTTTGAAAGATATTAGACATCGCAATCTTGTGAAACTGTTGACAGCTTGTTCAAGTATTGATTTCCAAGGAAATGAGTTCAGAGCTTTAATCTATGAGTACATGCCAAATGGAAGCTTGGATATGTGGCTGCACCCAAAGGATTTGGAAGAGACTTCTAGGCCCTCAAGAACGTTGACACTTTTGGAAAGGCTTAACATAGCGATTGATGTGGCATCTGTTTTGGAGTATCTTCATCTTAGTTGTCATGAAGTTATTGCTCATTGTGATCTTAAACCAAGCAACGTTCTTCTAGACCATGATCTAACCGCCCATGTTAGCGACTTTGGTCTTGCTCGGATCCTTCTCAAATTTGACCAGGAAGCCTTTATTAACCAACTTAGCTCGGCTGGAGTCAGAGGAAGCATCGGCTATGCAGCACCAGGTAAACCTATCACACAAATAATGTTTGAATGAAAAAACAATATTCTTTTGGGAATGAAATAAGATTTTATTTTTATTTTTTTCTTGTTTCACAAATATAAATTTTATATATCTTTAAGTACTTTTATATGCTTTTTAAAAACATTAGTTTAAATATTTGAATTTATCAAATAGTATTGTTTGATAGTTATTGGAAAACGTAGAGTAAAAATAAATAATAAAATTGATTTTAAACATTCATTATATTATAATATGTTTAAATACTCTAGAAAATCCTTCTTTTAGGAAGGGAGATTATATTCCTTGCTCCAATCTTTGTTTATATGACTTATTATGCAGAATATGCAATGGGAGGGGAAATATCAGTACATGGTGATGCATATAGTTTTGGGATTCTCATCTTGGAAATGTTCAGTGGAAAAAGACCAACCGATGAGATGTTCGGAGGAGACTTAACCCTCCGTAGCTGCATCAGGTCTGCTTTGCCAGAGCAAGTTTTGGATGTCGCAGACGAATTGGTTCTTCATAATGGCCTTAGAGTTGGCTTCCCTGTTGCTGAGTGCTTGACGAAGGTTTTAGAAGTGGGACTTGGGTGTTCTGAAGAGTCTCCAGCAACCCGGTTGGGAATGAGTGAGGTTGTAAAAGAACTAATCTCAATCAAGGAGAGGTTCTTCAAAACAAGAAGAGGAGCTAAACATTGAAGTGTGTCTTGTATGTGTGCTGGCTCCTCTACAAACTTGATGAAGACTTGTAGATGTATAATATTACTTCATAATATGCTTGAATGTTTTCAATAGAATCTCTACAAACTTGATGAAGACTTGTAGATGTATAATACTACTTCATAATATGCTTGAATGTTTTCAATAGAATGCTACGTTATTACCGGACAAAAGATGTATGTTGTTATTGGAATGCTTTTTAATATTGGAATAGAATTTCTATCGGCAAAACATTGCTTTATCAATTTGATACCTCGGATACATAATTACTAGTTAACTAGGTGATTTTCCCGTGCTCATGCACGGACATAAATATTTATAAGATAAATATATTATAATAGTTGATTGATATTTATTTTAACTTTTATTTTAATTTATAGTTTTATGTATAATTTATATTAATAATATTATAATATTTTAGTTATATATAATTTTAGATATATTATATTAGATTCTATCTATTTCTCTGAATTCAACTATTAATTCTTTTTTTTGTAACTATCTTAAATTTTTGATTAATTATTTTATTTACATTTATTTTGGTTGTTATCTTAGAAATATAAATATATCTTAGTAAGATTATGTATTTTAAGATTTTTTGTGCTTAGAACCCAAAAAATAAAAACTAAAATGTCTGATTCTAAATTACATACATAAGTAATAATAAAATTTTGGAAGCTTATGAACACATATCAATATTTACAATAATTAAATATTTTATAAATTTTAAATAATTTATGTCTTACATTGATTGGATGGTAAACTGAAATTTGTTTTAAACAATTTTATAAATAAGGAATTCTGATTTGCTTAGGTATTTTGATTATGGTTATATTAAATTCCACAAACATAAAAACAGAAAATTAAACATCAAAAGAGTTATTAAGAAAACAGATAATTTAACTATTAAAATATAATATATGTACCTCGTTAAATTATATAGTGTTATGATATTTTAAAAGAATTGTAGTTGTTTGATCAAAATATGTTTATTATTAAATTTATTTTTAGTTTTGTTTTTAATATCTCTTAAGATATGTAGTATAAATGTGATTGTTTTTGAGAAATTATATTATATAAATAAAATATAATTTATATTTTTTGTTGTAACTGTAAGATATTATAATCAAATAAATATACTAATTATAATTTTTTTGTCAATTAAACATATATCAATTTATGTTACTTAATTATTTTATGTAATCATATAATAAAATAGATAGATATATACAAAACTAATTACTCTGAAAATATATATTTTATTCTTTAAATTATTTTTTTAAAGAAAAAATATTTCTTTTTCTAATATCAAGATTATTTGTATGAACTTTTTTTATGAAAACACATTATATACATATATTTTTTTCATCTAAGAAGATATAGATATAAAGTATAATTACTTAAAAAGTATAATTTATGTTATTTAAAAATATATTTAAGTTAAATATAACTATTTTGTAAACTTTCCTTTTTTTATGAAACCATATTATATATATACTCATTTTTTCGTTTTTAAACAGTTTTGTAAATTTTATAAATATTTCCTTTTTGTTTTATATTGTTATTTGGAAGATTTTAAAAAGGAAATAATAATACTTAAATATATTTTTAATTCATTAGGGGTATCATAGTAATCAACCAGCGTGAGAGTTAATGTGAGCGCGACACCTAAGAAAGTGACTTCTCAAATAATATTATAGAGATGATAACAAGTCACTTAAGCGTTGATCACTTCGGACTAGGCCTGCGACAATTAACCGGAACCGAATATCCGAACCGGATCCGACCCGGAATAGACCGGTTCGGTTCGGTTTCGGTCATGTCACAATTAACCGATGGGTAATGATGTTGATTATCCATGGGTATCGGTTCGGTTTCGGTTTTTATCCGGAACCGATCGGGTACCCGATTAAACCGGATTCTACATTTAAAAAATATAGAATTGCAAGTCATTGATGGAGAAGAAGCTCAAAACAAGAACAACCCATTTATAAATCAAACCCATGTTGCGTGCGTCAAATCTTATCGTGTGGTCACCGTTTCTCGCAGCTTATTCTCTTTTTTCTTCTCCAGCAAGTAAAGAGGATTAGGTACTCTGTTTTCATGGCGGGCACTTGCACCTACACTGGCTCATATTCGATCGTTGAGCTTTCCAGGTTGATCAATTGATCACTGCACCAGCCTCCTCTCGTCTTCCTGCATCTTCGTTGGTCCCCAATCGATTCCGCTAGAAAAGAAACTCTTGAAGAAGCTCTTTATTGCAAGTACGCTTAGCGAGGTAACGGAGAGATATTCGTTCAGACAGTTGACAAGAAAACAGAGATTCGTTCGAGGTAACGGAGAACTAGCTGCTGAGCCAAAAGAATGTTTTGCTCAGCTTTTAGATTACATCGCACCTCTTCTGTATTCCCAATATTAACTGAAAGGTTTTCTTTAGCGTCGTAGCTTCTAACAGGAAGGCTCAAGCTTTCGTTTGGCTACCAGGGTTTTAAGCAATGACTTTTTTTTTTTTCTTCTGTGTTGTCCGATTAGACAATTGCCTCTTCATTTTGGTTTGAAGACCATTGTAATTATTAGACATTAACTGACTAAACAAAAATCAGATTATCTTTGAAAACCAGTCATAGAGATTAGGTAGGTTGGTAGGTGCCTACAAGAGTTGACAAAACTCATCTACAATTACGGCCACCGTCAGTTTCACCATCCAACTTCTATTTATAATTTTTTTTTCATTACATATTTATGCAAACCGTGATAGCCGAAATCAAGCGAAATAAAATTCAAAGAGACTTTTACCTTAACGACTACTCACCACTTTTCTTGGGTATTAATTGATCTTATTACCTTCAGAAATTTTCTTGTCATACATTTTTTTGGAACCCTTTTTTTTATGGAACACACACTATTTGTCAAACTAGATAGTTAATTTCTATTGATATTTTTTTCTCCTATGCATATGCATGCCCAACTTTCCAAAATTGCCTCATCCATTAGTTCAATAACGTGGGCGTAAAGACTGCATAAAAGCCGATTTAGGGTATTTATCAAGCAATTGCTCAAAAATAAAAGACTATTACTGGAAAAAAAAAAGCAAATTGATATGCCAAATACTTTAATTTTCTCGACTCAGCTAATCCAGTTTTTTTCGATTTAATGGGTGCGATTTAGATTTTTTTTTTTTTTTATAACACTACATGCGATTTAGATGTTATTAAATGAAAATGACCTTAAAATTAACGAATTATCCCGATGGATTACGGTGAATTTAGTTTGTGTCATTGTGTGGTAAAAACCGAGATACGTAACGTTGATTTGAAAAGAGTACGGTTCGGTATAGTAGCTGGACGTAGTATATACGGATATTCTTAAGTTGATGGTTTAATAAATTCTATTTTTATATTCGATTTCGGTTTACCTAAACCGAATTGGAAACCCAGAAACACATAAATCAAACAATAATTGTTTTCAACTTTAAAAGCGCCATCTCCTAGACCACCATCGCCGGTGACGGAACCCTAGTAACTAGTGCTAAGCAGCGACCTAATCAAGAAGGAAGCGAATGTCAAACGGTACAGAACAGATGCATCAATCACCGGAGAAATCTGCTCAACAATCGAGGAAGCGTTCTGCGCCGTTAGACAGTTGGTTACCTGATGGTTGGAGAGTTGAAGACAAGGTTCGAACCTCCGGTGCTACAGCTGGTTCTGTGGATAAGGTATATATTAAATCACTTCTCTTCACTACTGCATTGTAGCTCGGAACTGTTCACATTGAAGATTCTCTGTTTTTTTCTATTTAGCTTAGAATCCCGATTCGTCTCTGCTACAGTGTTTTAAGATTAAAAAGATTGTATCTTTCGTAGTGTGAAGTGTGTTCTTGTAGTGGAACATTAATGCTTGCAAGGAAGACCAGACATTGGATTGGTATGAGTTTAGTTGTGTCTTAAATGGTGTTTATGGGGCTAAGGGATTAGCATTACTTTGATTCATCTGTTAAATATTGTGAGTGGGAATTCTTATCGTCCAATGTAAATATATTATGTGCCAAGAGATTGACATTGTTTTTTTCATTTATCTGGTGTTTGCAGTACTATTACGAACCAGTCACAGGGCGTAGGTTTCGGTCCAGGACCGAAGTACTGTACTACTTGGAACATGGAACCACCCCTAAGAAAGGAAGCAAGAAAGCAAACAAAACCGATTTCAGTCCAGACGTGAGTTAACATTCTTAAAGTTTAAACCTTTCACTGCAACCCGTGATACATATAGAACCTTGAATTGCAGCATATGGAAGGCCAAGGAAGAAATAAAACCAGCAGAAAAGATAAAGAGCAGCCACCACCGCCACCGCCACCACGGCCATTGAACTTTGATTTTGAGAATGCACCGGAGAAGGTAAGCTGGTCTATGGCGAACTCAGGAGATGAAGCTTGGGAAACTTTTGTTGGGGAAGACAAGGTTCAAGATTCAGTGAGGCTAGATTGGTTCACTGCCTTTACCACTGTCACGACCAAAAACCCAAGTAAATTGTTTTTGTTGTGAGGATGATGTCTCGGTGGTGATTTTTGGGTTTTTGCAAGTATTGTAACCTAAATGGAGATGGTAGAGTTATTTAACTGGGTGGTGGTTGCTTAGAATTCACATGATTTAAGTTAGCTGTACTTTAACGTAAACTGAGATGGTCAGAGATATTTAAATGGGCGATGCTTGCTTAGTATTCACATGATTTAAGTTAATCGTATTGTAATTTTCTTAGCATTTTTGGAGGATATGTTACCATCTTGAAGGTTCTATGTTGTACTCGTTGTCTAGCAATCAATGCCCAAAACTTCATATGACAAGGCAAGCAAGATAATAAGTGGATACCACAACAATTTTAGAATAGCAAAAGTAAATCATGGTTCTAGGACATCAAGCGTCTGTAGTCCAACGGTTAGGATAATTGCCTTCCAAGCAATAGACCCGGGTTCGACTCCCGGCAGACGCATTTTTTGTATCGTTTGGTCACCTTACCGCACCTTCATTTTCACTTTGTCTTGTCTTCGACGGCGAGTGAAGAAAATTAGATACTCTGTTTTTTTATCATGTCGGACACTTGCACCCCTATAGGCTCTTCTCTTTGTGTTTGTGATAAAATATTTAATTTATTGATCATTGTAAAAAAGAAAATATATACACTGTTATTTTATTGGCTCTTCTTTGATCGTTGAGCTTTCCAGGTTGATCAATAGAGCCAGAGTTCCTTTCTCTGTTACGATCTCCACCAGAAGATTCATAAGAAAAGGGATCTTAGCTTTTGTAACATTCAAAAGATTCATAAAGGTGTAACTATAGAAACTTTTTCTCTTTGTAACCTATTTCTTCAGACTGATGATATTTCTTGCTCAAAATGCTAGTAGATTTGCTAAATCTAGCCCTCATAGGCTCATATGATGTAAATGTAAAAAAATATTTTAATTTTAGTTTGTGATTTGTTAGATATAATTTAGTAAGACTGAAATATACATTTACTTTCATTTTAAATTTAATCTTTTTTCATTACATTTTTTTTTTTGCAAATCGTAATAACCGAAATCAAGCGAAATAACCCAAAGAGACTTTTCCACTAACGACTACTCACCACTTCTCGTGGCTACTATATACTTTCTCTTTTTACCTTCAGATATTTCAGAATCTCTTGTCTTTTATTCTTAGCCTTATCTTTTTTTTCATCATCTTAATCATTTCCTGCAAAATATGAGAAGCATAAAACTCTTTCTTTTCCTTTCTTTCAGTGCTCTCATGTTACTTGAAGCATTCGGGAATAGCCATGAAACTGATAAGCAAGCTTTACTCAAGTTTAAGTCTCAAATTTCTGACAAGAAAAAAGTTTTGCTGTCCTCATGGAACAACTCGTTCCCTCTATGTAGATGGACGGGAGTTACATGTGGACTCAAACACAAGAGAGTTACTGGTTTGGACCTCGGAGGATTCCAGTTGGGTGGAGTGATATCGCCATTTATTGGTAATCTTTCGTTTCTCATATCAATTAATTTCACTTATAACTCTTTCGGTGGAATCATCCCTCAAAAGCTTGGAAACTTGTTTAGACTTCAGTACTTGGATATGAGCTACAATTTTCTGAGAGGAGGGATCCCAGCAAGTCTGTTCAACTGTTCTAAATTGTTAAAACTTGCTTTATTTTCAAATCATCTTGGACAAGGTCTTCCATCAGAGCTAGGATCATTGAGTAAGCTTGTTACATTAGAACTTGGTCAAAACAACTTGAAAGGAAAACTCCCTGTATCTCTAGGAAACTTGACATCCCTCAGAAAACTTTCCTTGACAGATAATAATCTGGAAGGAGAAATTCCTGATGCCATAGCTAAGTTGACTCAAATGGTGTATTTTGTATTACATACAAACCATTTCTCTGGTGTTTTTCCTCGTGCAATTTACAACTTGTCGTCACTTCAGTCTTTGGGCATGTATGATAATGGGTTTTCTGGGAATCTGAGGCCTGATTTTGGTAACTTGCTACCAAACCTTCTAGAATTTACTATCGGAAATAATTCTCTCACAGGAGCCATTCCCTTAACACTTGCAAATATTTCAGCTCTTCAATATTTGGACATGGAGTTTAATAGTCTGGCAGGAAGTATTCCTCAGAACTTTGCAAAACTAAAATATTTGCAAACGCTATCCCTTAGTGATAATTCTTTGGGAAGTTTTTCAGCTGGAGATCTTGAATTTCTTACTACTTTGAAAAACTGTACCGGACTGCAAATCTTAGACGTGTCATTCAATAGGCTTGGGGGTGACTTGCCTGCCTCCATTGCCAATATGTCAATGAACCTCACTTTGTTATCTCTTCGAGATAATTTTGTATCTGGAAGCATTCCACATGTCATTGGGAATCTCATAGGCCTACAATCATTAGTGTTGTCCGGAAATCTATTGAAAGGACCAATCCCAGCTTCTTTCGGGAAACTTTCAGGATTGATGGGATTAAGTGTTCATACAAATAGAATGTCAGGAGAGATACCACATTCTTTAGGCAACATCACTCGGTTAGAAAGACTCTATTTGTACAACAATGGTTTCGAAGGAATCATTCCTCCAAGTCTTGGTAAATGTAGCAATTTGCTATATTTACGTATCGAGAATAATAAGTTGAATGGTATTATACCTCAGGAGATTATGCAAATTTCAACCCTTGTTTCTCTAACCATGTCAAATAATTTATTGACTGGTTCTCTACCTGAAGATATTGGACGACTTGAAAATCTTGGTAATTTATCTGTTGCTCATAATAAGCTATTAGGGAAACTTCCAAAGACTTTGGGAAAGTGTCTCTCACTGAAAGAACTTTATCTGCAAGGAAATTCTTTTGATGGAATCCTTCCAGATATAAGTGGATTGGTGGGTATTAAGGTGGCAGATTTCTCAAGCAACAATCTCTCTGGAAGAATCCCTGAGTATCTCGCAAACTTTAGCTTGTTGGAGTATCTCAATCTATCCTTCAACAACTTCGACGGAAATGTGCCAACAGAAGGAAAATTCAAAAGTGCAATTATTATCTCAGTATCTGGAAACCAAAACCTTTGTGGAGGCGTCTTGGAACTGCGACTAAAGCCATGTTCTTTGCAACCAGCAGGAAAATCAAGAAAGAAACTTTTGATTGGGGTAAGCATTGGCATATCTTTGCTCTTGCTTTTGTTCATAGCTTCAGTTTCTCTTTGTTGGTTAAAAAGCAGAAAGAAGAAAAAGACCAGTGAAGCAACTCCTTCCACCTTGGGGGGTTTTCATGAAATGATAAGTTATGGAGATCTTCGAAATGCGACAGATGGCTTCTCTTCAAGTAATTTGATCGGGTCAGGAAGCTTTGGAACCGTGTTTAAAGCTTTTCTCCCTGCTGAGAACAAGGTTGTTGCAGTGAAAGTTCTAAACATGCAGAGACGTGGAGCAATGAGGAGCTTTATGGCAGAATGTGAATCCCTGAAAGATATTAGACATCGTAATCTTGTGAAACTGTTGACAGCTTGTTCGAGTATTGATTTCCAAGGTAATGAATTCAAAGCTCTAATCTATGAGTACATGCCAAATGGAAGCTTGGATATGTGGCTGCACCCAAAGGAAACAGAAGATATTTCTAGGCCCTCAAAAACGTTGACATTATTGGAAAGGCTTAACATAGCCATAGACGTGGTTTCTGTTTTGGAGTATCTTCATCTTAATTGCCATGAAACTATTGCTCATTGTGATATTAAACCAAGCAACGTTCTTCTAGACGATGAGTTAACCGCCCATGTCAGTGACTTTGGTCTTTCTCGGATCCTTCTCAAATTCGACCAGGAAAACTTCATCAACCAACTTAGCTCGGCTGGAGTCAGAGGAAGCATCGGCTATGCGGCACCAGGTAAACCTTTCACACTTATAATGTTTAAATGAAGAAAGCTAATACTCCATTCGTTTTTGAAAGTAAAATTTTCAAAGATAAATTTTATATATATCACTAAGGGGCGTTGATAGTTATTGGAAACTGTATAGTAAAGGTAAATAACAAATTGCATTATATTCTTAACATATGTAAATACTTGCTTGCTTCAATCTTGTTGAATATGACTGATGGTGCAGAATATGCAATGGGAGGAGAAATATCAGTACATGGTGATGCATATAGTTTTGGGATTCTCATTTTGGAAATGTTCAGTGGAAAAAGACCAACCGATGAGATGTTCGGAGGAGACTTAACCCTCCGTAGCTGCGTCAAGTCTGCATTGCCAGAGCATGTTTTGGATGTGGCAGACGAATCAGTTCTTCACAACGGCCTTAGAATTGGCTTCCCTGCTGCTGAGTGCTTGACAACGGTTTTAGAAGTGGGACTGGCGTGTTCTGAAGAGTCTCCAGCAAACCGGTTGGGAATGAGTGAGGTTGTAAAAGGGTTAATCTCAATCAAGGAGAGGTTCTTCAATGTCAGAAGAGGAGCTAGACGTTGAAGTGTCGTCTTGTATGCTTGCTCCTCTACAAAACTTGTAGATGTATAATTAATAATTTTTCTTCATAATATGTTTTAATGTTTTCAACAGCATGCTACGTTATTAGCAGACAAAAGATGAATGTTGTGTTAGTAGCAAGTTGATATTTGGAATTGTGGAATCCCTATCGTTAAAACATTGCTTTTAGCAATTTTATATCTGATACATGTTTACTAGTCACTTAAGCGTTGATCACTTCGGATCATGGATGACTCTTAACTTAACATTTCTTCCGAAAGCAGTGCGAAGCCAAGAAGCACTTGATCGCATAGGGAGAAGAGGTTCTACAAATTTACAAAAATCCTCTGTTTTGGGTTTTGATAAGTTTTTTTGTTTAGGTTTTGCGTTGTGAGATCTGATCAATCAAACAGATCTGCTCACAAAGCCCACTGTCATGAACTATATCTCATTATCTTAGATAGTCCTTCCCTCTGTAGCTTTTGTTAACATCTGCTTCAGAAGTCTGCCTCACCATTGGGTAGAAAATGGGCGAGGACAAAGTTTGTTTTAAAAAAAAAAAAATTAGAAAGCTTTTGTAACATTCAAAATTTGTAACCATAAAAGCGTTTGCTCTCTTGTAACGCTATTTCTTCAGACAGTTTGACAAGAAACACAGATTCGTTCGAGTTAACGGAGAACTAGCATATTGTTTTGTTTATCATATTGATGCCGAGCAAAAAGAATGTTTGCTCAGCTTTTTGAGATG